TATATATACACACACACACACACATATATATATATATATAGCCGTCCTAACTAGAGTCATTATACAATATGTATTATGCATTATACAAATGTGTTTATATATATATATATATATATATATACACACACACACACACACATTTTTTCAAACTCAGATAAATACAACAAATGACAATGATACAGATGATTTTTGCAATCATGTAGCCTATATTCAGTTTTTACTTTTTTAAATGTTTGATGTATATATATATATATATGTGTGTGTATATATATATATATATATTTGTTTACATTATATAAAATGTAAAAAAAATGTTTTGCCTTTTTTTTTTTTTTTATGATTTTCGCTATATATGCAAAAAGATTCTGGTTGAATCTAAGGCAGAGAAGCTACACACACACACACACACACATTATATATATAAAGTAATTTTTTTCATTCATTCTGAATGAACCAAATTTACTAAAATAAACTATTTTACTACAATAAATGACTTCCAAACCCATTGTATGAGAGAAAGTGAGATGACATTTTTGTAAAGTATGTTTACTATCTCATTCATACCTCTTAAAATTAGCCTAATATTTTGGCACACTACACCGCTATTCGTTGTAAGCTGTAGCTAATCGTTACTGCTGAGCTACAATGATGTTCACACAAATATAGCATCCTTTGCTTGACTACAAATTACAATAATGGATAATTTATATTTCACCATATAGTTCTTACACTATGTTCACCATGTTCAGGCATTAAAAATAAAAAAAATGTTATATAAATATTATTCCGTCTTTAATAGAGATGCACATACTGTTTCCAAGAGAAAAAGTAACATTAGGTCATGCCATCAGTCACGGGGCACTGGAGGGCGAGGGCCAGCTGGGAATTAGGTGTCGCTTTGAGAACACATTTTAAGGGCAGGACCAGGACGTCTCGGGGGACAATAGCATCTTTGAGTGAGAAATGACATGCCTCAGTGTTCTTAGAGAGGAGAGAGTGGGAGTGTAAAGAAAGTTAAAGATGAGAGGCTGGAATGGAGCGGAATGCGGATGCAGCTCCTTTAATAATGCATCTTGCTGCTCTTCTGCTCTTGTTCCCCCGGAATCATCTCGACTTCAACATCCTCCAGCTTGTTCCGCGCATGTGTGGTCCCATATGATTTTCTTTCTTCCGTGGAACATTTTTTTTGGAGCTTGACAGCCACTATTATGGAAAAGAGCACTCTGGACGTTCTGCAATAGATCTTCATTTGTGTTCCACAGAAGAAATAAAGTCAAACAGGGTAAATGACAACAAAATTTCCATTTTGGGGTGAACTATTCCCTTAATATACAAAATCCTGTGTTATATTAGTATCACTGATTATACTATTATAGTTTTTGTTTATATCTTTAGATTTTATATTTTCACTTTAACTTTAGTTTAAGTTTCAGTGTTTTTTGTTTATTAGTTTCATTTTGTTTTTTTTAAAAATATGCCTATATAGTATTTATTAATTTTTATATATCAGTATTATTATTTTATTTAATTATGTAGTTTAATTATTTTAGTACTTAGGATTTTTTGTGTTTTAAATTTAGATAACAATAATAACCCTGTGACAATCATACAATAATTTTTTTCAACATTTTAAAACTTTTTTTTTTGCAATATGTTTGATAAATACTACAAAAGAATTATACATAAAAGTAAAGTATATATGCAATTTGCTTGGCAACTAGCTGAAATAAAATAAGTTTAAGTTTTTATATAATTTATTTTATTTCAGTTAACTTTTAAGTAACAAAAAGTTTTTTTTGTTTTTGTTTTAACAATAATAGCAACCCTGAAACAATTGCAATGGTGTACACAGAGCAAAATGAAATGTTTCTTTTATATTTTTGCAAGAATTTGATACAAAAAATATAAAAGAATTATACATAACATTCATAACTAGCTTAAATAAAATAAATTACTTTTTTATATATTTTATTTTATTGCAGTTAACATTTATTTTAAGTAACATTTTTTTTATTTAGTTAACAATAACCCTGCAACAATCTTGCAACTGTGAACACAGAGCAAAAATCTAATGTTTTAATTTTTTTTATTTTTTACATAAATAGACAACTAGCTGAAATAAAACAAGTAAAATACAAAAACTTTATTTCAGTTAACTTTCATTTTAATATAAGTAACAAATGTTTATTTATTTTTAGTTTTACATTTTAGTTAACAATAATAACCTTGCGACAATCATGCAACTACACGGTGCAAAATCAAAACTTTCTTTTTACATTTTTTTGCATTTCATTGGTTTCATAAATAATACATATAAAAATGATCCAATAATTCGATACAAATAATACAAAGGAATTATACAGAAATGTATATATGCAATTGGCCTGGCATCTATCTGAAATAAAATAAGTTTACGTTTTGTTTTTTTTAATATTTTATTTCAGTTAACGTTTATTTTATTTAAAATAATGAATTCCCTTTTTTTCTATAGTTTTAGTTAACCCTGAGACTGTATACACGCAGCAAATGCAAATGCAAATGTTGATAACCAAGACAGACTGTTCCCGTCAGAAACTGCAGGAGGCAGATGAGCCTTTGTTGAGCCACTTAAGAAAGATGATTTGATCTTCTTAGCTTATCGTTCTATTAGACGAGCACCATTAGCGATCTGCAGGGGATTCCTGCACCCCCCACCCCAAGCTTGGAGATCTGCTTCAGTCAGTCAGGCTGCTGGAATCCTGTCGCTCTTAATCAAACCAATTACAACACACTGGGCGTCAAATACCACAGCTCCTTAGGATAGTGACGTTACGCACAAAGACGGCTGATTTATGAGCACTCTTTAAGATGACGGGGCCGATCTGCCTCATTTTTCAACTCTTTTTCTAAAGCAATACCTCATATGTCAACACAGGTGTTGAGTTACACATACTGCGGCGGTAAACATACACTCTAGAGGATGTTTCCGTTCTCCTTTGATAATGACTTTTCTTTGCATCTGGGTCACATCGCATCTGCACATCTTTCCTTCAAACGGGTGATTCAAGACCACAAACAGCCACACCAGATCAAAATGAAAACATGCCACACTTTATTTGGAGTCACGCAGGTCAAAAGTCATGCTTGTGCAGGAGAAAACGTTTCTTTTAAGTATTCAGATCACAGTAATTTTGTCTGAAATTACTTTACAATTATTTTACAATCGCACCGCATGCAAAACCGTTCAGCCTTTCAGAAATAAGCCACAGGTGCGTGTTCTTTCGTCTCTGTCCCTGTGTTCATGTTTGAGGGATTTTAATACTTTGTTATGGCTCACGGAGACAGAATTAAAAGGATTCAAAAACACCTTCGCCCTAAAATCCAGTGAAAGATCAAGGTGGACAAGACCCAGTTCAAATCAAAGGTCTAAGCGAAGAAGAGTTGACTGAAGAGATGTGACGTGAGTGTGCACACATGAGTTATTTTCAGTCACTCTAAACCTGTGCCATTCGAATCGCATGCAAACTACCAGAAAAAAAAAACAGGTTAAAATTCACACAGGGTTAGTTTATGACTGTATGAGCTTATAGAAAGATTCTATCATGTTCAAATGTTTAGTTACACATAATGGACATGAAGTTTTATGCCCTTTGTAAAAGAAACATAAAAGACAAAACATTTTTCATTATATAGTAATATAAAGTTTTAAATAACCAAAACATCTAAATTATTACGTTTTAATTTTAAAAGAACATTATTATATTAATCCATTAATATAAATTATTTTATTTCTAATACCTTGATGTTGATTATTATTATTATTATACATTATAATTTTATTTCTTATTTTATTTCAATTATTTTCAACAATAAATTGGAGTTAAAAAATTAAATTGATGTATAATAGAAAATATATCTTTTAGATTCTGGGACTGGTCGCTATTTCTTTTATATTTTTCAACATTTTTCAACATTTTTGCAGTTCAGCATTAATATGAGGTTTCATAAATAATTTCTATATAAAAAGAAAGATACAAATTATACAAAAGAATTATGCAGAAATGCTATTTAAAATAATTTCACATCAACTACTCAAATACACCAAATTTTCTGTCAATAAAATATACATTTTATACAGACTATAGTTATGTTCACAAATACCACACTACCCATAATAGTTTACATTATGTATACTATGAATCTGTGACAATTCCCACAATGTGACGTGATCAGCTTTTCAAAATAAATAAATAAATAAATATTATGTATATGTAATTTATTTTAACATTTTATTTATAATCAAAAAATAGAATATAAACAAAAATATTAGATATATTATAAAAATGTATATATATTTTAATATATAATTTTAATTTATACAATTTATATATAATTATTTGAATATCATTAGAGAAATATTATTGTGTCACTCAAAACACACACGCACACACACATTATCTGTGAGGAACTCTGCAGTATACAACCTCAAAAACTTAATGGAAGCATATTCCCACAATTCAATGTAGTCAACTTGACCATCCATAGTAAAAAGTATACAGTAGTACACAGAACGCAGTAAGCAGTCTGATAGTATTTTTATTTTTTTTTTAAACTTCATATATTGGCTATGCATGTGCATGTATGTGTACCTGAAAGAAGCCCGGAGGAACGGGGCCGACCGGCATTCCCTCTCCTGGGGGCATGTTTCCAAGGACAGGACTCGGAGCTGCTGCTGCACTCTGCAATCACAAACACACACACAATTCCAGTTAAACACACACATACAGCTACCGACGCTTCCCCAAACACTGCACTGTGATGGTCATTCACCACTCAAGGACAAACACACACACAACCTCAAAAACTTAAAGCAAGCATATTCCCACAATTCAATGTAGTCAACTTGACCATCCATAGTAAAAAGTATACAGTAGTACACAGAACGCAGTAAGCAGTCTGATAGTATTTTTATTTTTTTTTTAAACTTCATATATTGGCTATGCATGTGCATGTATGTGTACCTGAAAGAAGCCCGGAGGAACGGGGCCGACCGGCATTCCCTCTCCTGGGGGCATGTTTCCAAGGACAGGACTCGGAGCTGCTGCTGCACTCTGCAATCACACACACAATTCCAGTTAAACACACACATACAGCTACCGACGCTTACCCAAACACTGCACTGTGATGGTCATTCACCACTCAAGGACAAACACACACACACACACACACACACACACACCCATAAACACACAGTCACTGAAAGCCAAAATCTACATGTCTTAGACAGACACATGGATAGTGTCAATAGCTGCTAACCACCAGAAGAACTGGCTTTCTGTCTGAAAACACATTCAGCCGCCTCTGAAAAATACAAGCAAGCAGGCAGGGATGGTAGAGGTCAGACGGCAGGCCAAAGACGCATTAAATAAGACAGGATTACTGTGTCTGAGGATGCAGAGAGCCGCGGGAGGCCGCACACCCCATGCCGGGAGCTAATGAGGAGGCAGTTTAGGTTCCTGTGCTAGACTCAGTAAAGCACACGCTTAAACAGTTCTCATTGGAAAAAGTACTGGAAAAGTTGCATTGTTTTGAAAACACATGAGCCGCAGTCACGCTACTGAAAAATGTAGTTAAGTTAGTAGCGTTGCTGCTTTTAGTTACAGTTAACACTGTACATGAGGACTCTGTGCGTTCAGTAATGACGAAAATCTTTGTTTTGACATCCGACAACAGCCATCAAGTGACAAACCGGCTGGGATTGAATGTTTTATCTAGCACTAGGGTGCTTGTAAGTGCCACAGCTCCAGGCCGGATCGGCACACCGGCACGGCCGCAGCACCAAGACCAACTGTGCTGCAATGACTAGAGATTGTGTGTGTGTGTGTGTGTGTGTGGAGCATTATTGACATGCAAAGAGAGAGAGAGACACACACTTAGACACAACAGTCTGATTACCCTTGGCACACAGAGAAATGAGCAGGGGAAACGCACTCACATCCGCCCAGTTGCTGGCAAATGGAAGGTGGAGAAATACACGACTCGGAAGGAGCGTTTTCTAATGCTAGACGATGAAAATAGCTACAGCACTTTTAACAACAGTTCACCTAGATCAACAAGACATCATAAAAATCACACGTCTGTGGCGTTTTATCGACGCCGAAGCCATCTTTTGTGGTGGTAAATAAGGTCCCGCTGCGAGGGATCTGAATATTGTGTTTTCCTGCAGTAACGCTGAAGTCTCATCTCCTGATAGCAGTGGCACAATAATGAGACTAATGCCCTCCGTGCTGAGCAAGCACTCTATCAAAACTACCAACAAAGATAAACTAACGTCCCTCGGCTCTTCACGGGTCCACAGTCAGTCATAAAACCCTCGCCGCCGAGGGCACAGCAATAAAATCTGGCTTCTGATTAGAGTAACTTTCATTTAGCGTGCCTCCCATTCAGGGGAAACCAAAATGGCACTAATGTAATAAGAAAAGATGTCTGACTGTCTTAAAAGCGAGCTGATAAAAGTGTTAACAGTGATTTGCAGCGGGTGTTTTTAATACAATTGAATATTGAACGCTGTGTACAAGATGTGGCGAAAATGACTTGAAAATTTAGAGATTCACTGACTCTCTCTTGCACAATTAATGGGATTGTTCACCCAAAAATGCACTCATCCTTGAATCACATGAATTTCAGTTTGGCAGAATATCCTAAATTGGCAGACTCTGTCAGGATGAAATGTATTAATAAAAATAAATAAATAAATAAATAAAATGAATTATTTGCAATTAATTAAATATACCTATATATAAATTGTAAAAAATAATTTTAGATAAAACACAATCATAAAATATAATAGTAAAACAAACATTATATATATATTAGGGATGCACCGATACCGATACTTATTTAATTACAGAAATGTAATGAAATAACTACAGAATGTAGAATATAATAAAGAATAGAGAGAGAGAGAGAAAGAAAGAGAGAGAGTAAGAATTATTTTTAGTATATTACATTTTTAGAATATAGAGTAATATTTTTACAAATTGCATTACATTTTTATAAAACTAAACCTTTTATATCTACAAAAAATGTTTTATAGACACACACACAAACACACACACGCACACACAAAAAAAAATATTGCTGGTGTTACAAGTAAAAACCGCCAAATAAGGTTTACACGTAGGGATGTAATGGTATGAAAATTTCTTATCATGATTATAGTGACCAAAATTATCACGGTTATCAGTATTATCACGGTTTTGTTCAAATGTGCTGGAGATGTTAAAAAAGTACCGACACGTAAATCACTTCACCAAGTTTTATATTTAAAAATCAACAAACAACAAATAAAATGACTTTTTGTTTGCATAATCACTAAAACAATAACATTACCAATGATGTTCGGATTTTAAATGACAACTTGACTGACAACAGTTCAATAGCATGTTGAAATAGCCTAATGTAAATGTTCAAATAAAGCTTTGAAAAAGTTTAATAAAAAAGATGAACCGGTAATACTAACCGTGGGGAATTTTATCATGATTTATCGTCAAACCGGTAATCGTTACATCCCTAGTAGTTACGTTATGATACGTCATCAGAGGGTGGGGAGATGGGGGGGATTCCCTCGGTCTACATGTCTCTCTGCATCAGCTAAATTATTTTTTATTCACAGTGAATAGGAGTTAAAACTCCCATCCGGGTGACATAACAGACAATGCAAAATACCCAAAAGTATTTAAAATATTGCAAAGTAAC